AAGAGGAAAAATTATAATAACAAATTTTAAAAACTCTGGATACACTTTGGTGTATTGGATAAAGGAGATATCTGGACCGGGCTTTGATTTTGGGTTTATGGATTTGGTTAAATGAGCAAATAGCCTAAAAGATTAATTCTTTTAGTACAATTTTTTTTAAAATTATGGAGTTGATTAAATCAACAAAATATCTCTTTTAATTGATTTGCTTGTAACGTTAATTGAAAAAATCAATTAGTATTGATTTTTTAGTACGTCAAACTATGCAATCAATTGTGTTTATGAGAGAATAATTATCTTGGTCTCCTCCTTAATGCTCTTACGTTGAGCTTGGGCTATATATGAAGCCATCGTCCTTCTCATGATGACAGACACGAAAAAGATAGCAATTCTCCTCATATTTTATTTTATTTGTTTGTGAGTCTCAGATTACTCACAAAATTTTGGTTCGATAGATTCTGTTATTCGGTGTTGGAAGACAAAAACAACGGTAGTTGTATCATGGAAATCTTACCGTTACAAAATCGTCAAATTACGGGGCGTTTAAAAATTTAAAGAAAAAGATCCGACGTCTCGCCTTTGCGATTCCTTTTCATATTTCTAATTTGGTATTGTAATTTTGATTCATGTTCCTAAATTAATCTTTCATATATCAGTTGCACTATTGTAGAAAATTCAGTTCCTACAATTACTTTGGTCTTTGATACGGAAATCAATTTTGTTGCAATAGCTTTGATGCAATTTGTCCAACTACTAGAGTTAGTCCTGAGTTTTAGAAAATCGCAAGTTAAAAAAAAATAATCGTTTAAGTACATTTAAAAAAAAAGAAATGTACACCGTTTAGTATATAGAATCGACTTTGATTATTAGAAGATCGCAAACTCATGTAACTGGCCTGTTTGTGTTTAGGACCAATCATGCCAACTACGAAATATAGACTCTATGTTTCAAATGTTGTCGGGATTTTAACCACTATGAATTGATTAACAAAATAAAATGATAACGCAATAAAAATAGCAGAATTTTGGGGGGAGGGGAGATCGATATCAAAAGTAAAAATGTTGGCTCGTAACGAAGATTTTGGAGTTGCATTTAATGGAAGATTTTGGAGTTGCTTCAGTTTTGTTAAACGCATTTGTTATTTTTGTGTGCCATTGCTATATGAATAGTAGTGGTTCTAGGCTCTATATATTAGTTTGAGTTTTGATAAGGGAATGTATTTCTTTTTATCAACGACAATAGACACTTTATGCAGTATGGTTTAGCAAAAAACTATATCTTATACTCTTTTCGGACAGAAGGAAAACAAAGTTATATCTTCAATTATTTGTCGT